AACAAAGAGCCCCAGAATTTAAAATGGGTGATATAGAAAAACTAATTAAAGAAGCAAAAAAGAATACTGAAGTAGCACAAGAGAAACAAAAACTATATTATGACTTGAACCGACGGGAAGTAACTTATAAAGTAGGGGAGAAGTGATTTAAAAATTAAGCATTCACTTTCTTCAGCACCAGAAGATAAAACTGCCAAATTTTTTCCACGATTTGAAGGACCATATGTCATAGAAAAAATAACTCACCCTGTAGTAGTGTTAAAAGCCAGAAATGGTGAAACCTGCTCCGCAAACATTGTTCAAATCAAACCCTACTATGATCGTAATAAAATGCAAATATTTAAAGATCTTTTGCAGGATCCGGCACGGCACGGCAGACACCGGCAGGCACAAGCTCCAGAGGTGGAACAACGACAAGTACAAGGGCAAGCCATTAAGAGGCAGGAGCAAGTGAAAAGAAAGTTTCCCCGCAGGAGGAAAATTGAAGGTAGCAAGAAAAGAAGCCGTTCCCACGATTCCAGAAAAGAGAGCTCACGAACACCCCCAGAATGAAGAAGGGAGAAGGACGACGTATGCAAAGAGAGCCAGGAGAAATAATTGACGGCAACTATAACCCGGCTCTAAAACGGAAGATCTACTCATCCGCCAGGACTCTCCGCAGCAAATGTCGCCGAACTGCGGAAAGGCCACACAGCGGCGGAGGAAAAGTTACAAGGAAAATTTGAACGGCCAGCAACGAGGTCCAAGCAGGAACACGAAAGAAGTTTCCCGGTTCCCGCCAAGACCAGCTGCCATCAAACGGCCAAGACCACAGGCAGAGCGAAAAAAGAAGGTATTCAAGGGTGACCGAACTGAAAAAAAAAAGAAAGCTTCTAGAGGAAGGCACTGAAGGGCGATTCCCGCACAAGAAGGAGGATAATCAAACAACAATCTACGCTACTTTCCAGGACTGGGCTCCAGAAAAGAATGTCCGAATATCACAAAGATAAGTAAAATTTTATGTTACTTTGCCAAACTTAAGTTAATCTTTCATTCTTACTGCAAGTGGCAGAAATTTCAGAAGTTTTACCTCATGCGAGGTCTACCTTTATCGCCAAAAGAGCGAGAAATGAGTTGTTACCGATTTTGGTATTATGTTTTTTCAATTACTCGCGTGTAAAACTAAAGTTGATGTATAATAGCGATGTGTAAAGACTTATATATTGTAAAAGTTATTGTATAAATTTTATTTAAAAACTTTCTGGCAAAAAGAAGTTTTAGTCTGAAAGACTTTTTGAAATGTAGTATTTCAATGTAGAAAGAATTGGCACTTGCTTTGAAAAGAATAGAAGTTAACAATGTACTACTAATGTATGTTGTCAAATGCGTAAAATTAACGGCATGTTAATATGTTCTTATATACAATGTGAACTGTTATTTTAAATGTTAAGAAATACCGTGATATGGTAAAAGTGAAAGTAATGTTAAATTTTTTTTTATTCGTGTGACTGTAAAAAGACTAAATCATGGTGAATATGTGTTAAAGGTTGAATGTATGTAGTTAGGCTCTCTGACGCTACACTTCAGAGTTAGCCACTTTCAGAATAGTACCTCAGGGTTTAGAGTTGAAGTTAGGGTGTGTTACGAGGTCTTGGTATGTTGAATTTTTAACACGTTAGTTCTTTGATTGTAGGAGGAAGTGTTGAACACGTAGACAGAAACACATTCGTGTTTGGTGTTCTTTTACAACACATGTCAGAGAGCACGGGGAGAGATAATTAAAATAGTCATGAATGAAATAAGAATGTTAAGAGAAATATAATTATACATGTTACTTGCCATTTCATTGTGTAACATTTCATTAAACTAGTTTTCCTTCCAGATCTCTGGAAGGAACCAGATTTGAATAAAAGCTCCTGTTTAGATGCAGTACAGATTAAAAAATTGCGTGTCCTGGGAGCTGCTATTGTAAAAACAAATTTCTTTCTTTTAAATTTCTAGTTTCTAGCGAAAAATGTGTGTAAAATATTGGCCTCGCGTTAGATTCTAGAGCTAAAAGTTTTCAACAAGGACGTTTTAGACCTCAGTTTCAAACTAATTAACTCTGGCGGGAAGTATGTAAAGATCTTAAGTTTTACTAACGTTTATTTTATTTTAAATCTTTACTATCACTTCTTATTTTCTACTTCCGGCCAGAATTATAAGCGTTAACGTATTTATGCAAAATTTGTCTGGCGAACGCCAAGTATTTAAGTTGTGGCTTTTTGCCAAGCGAGAGAGAGGAAGCAGTTAGTCGAAGCAGGCCGCTTACCTTAGAAGTTTTACTCAGTTGCTGGTTGCTTTCCAGGCCAGAGGTTTAATCCTCTTGATAACTTTAAACGTATTGTAGTGTTCACAGTTCTCTGTACTACATACGGCCTTCCTGTTAATATAAGGCCAATCTTCCACGTTTATTATTTCAAAGTTAAGAGTTTAGTTTTATTTTTATACTTTTACGTTTAGACCACAAGTAGTGGGTCTTTGTATTCCGAAGTACGGAAGTTATTGTAAATAGAGAAAAATAAAGGGTTTTGTATACCCTTCTTGTGTATCCTGTCTACTTCCCACAGTTATTGAACATAGCTTTAGTAAGCTCTCTGTTCCGAGTCAGGTCCTTGCATGTTCCCGAAGAAAGTAAGACGGAACACTGAACCTGATAGTAGAACGTTGAAATTTTGTACGTGGGACTCATATAGCTGTACCTTCTCTATTGCAATTGGCAGATTCAAACGTACACACATACACACACCACACACACACACACACACACACACATTTATATATCCCCTTACCTGGTCCCTTATCCAACCTTTATTTTCGCAATCGCTGCCCACAGCCATATACTTCTAATCACAGATGTGTTTTAATATAAAGAAAATATTCCTGTTTTGGCAATGTCTAATTTAAAAGTAAAATTAATTTTGGACAAATAAAGAAATGTAACTTTTAATGCGGTTATAAGGTATTTCTCCCGCTTTCCAAGCATGGCTTCGTGGTGTAACGGTAGCACGCTGGGCCGGTATTCCAGAGGTCCGTGGTTCGATTCCCGGCGAAGGCGTTGTTAATTTTTCCTCCTCTCTGGCTTTCAAAAAAATACCTAATGTCTCTACACGGTTGCCTGATTCCTATACTTATATATGGGAAAGTTTAGTACTTGTTATGAAAAATTAAAAATGCGAGAAGGTTAAATCCCGCACGACAAAAATTTCAAAATATATTTCGTTTAAAAATTTTTCAGTTTCTGTTGTCATTTTCAACTTGCCTTGAGGGATCGCTTAATTAAGTTAGAATAATTCGAGGAAGTAGTAAGTTTAAATGATGTGCAGCGAAAAATGTGAATATAATTTAATAGGCAGTACAAGAAGTCGTTGTATCCACATCTATATTTTTTAGTTTTGTACAATGGTTTACTTTACGTAATCAAATGAACACTGTGGGCTTCCAACCTTTTATATAACAGCTAAGTGTGTAAGAACCTCTTGAACAGGTAAACGAATATTCCCTTTAGTTCAGAAACTGATATGTAAAACTCAAGAAGGGTTAATAACCGTTTATTTCGCAAAATAAGAACTCAACAATTGGCTCCTTTCTCAGAGCGTACAGCAAAGCCTCCACTTGAACTCAAAGTAATAAGAAGTGAAACTTAACTAAAAGATATAGCCAAAGCTATCAACAATTTCTAAGTAGTTGGCCCATAAATAAAAATTAAGCTGGCGAAATTATCAAAGGCCTGAGATACGGCCGAGCGTAGTAATAGTTTAGAAAGAGCGTAGCCAAAAGTCAAACGCAGGCTAGTCAGAATCTCTGGCTCTCTAACGAAGTCAGTGGAACTTCCGACATAAATACCGCTCTATAAACACATTCTATAAACACAACCGCAATTCTATAAACACATTCTGGTAGGAAATTGTAAACTGAAATTAAGAAGGATAGGAAAGTAGCTTTAATGATAACTATTAAAACCTAGGATAAACTTTACAGCGCATTACCCACATTAAACTTGAAAATAAATTTACATTTTTAATAATAACCTTTTTGCTAATTATAATATGGTTCATTCCTCTTTCTTGCGGTTTTTTAATTGCCCTCAATTCACCGCGATTTGGATTAACCGTGGACATCGTTCCCGCTATTGACTTGGGTACTTGGGAGTTAGATGTGTGCGCCGTTGTGACTTATCTCACTTGTCTGATAGTAACATCAGATAGAACCATTGAAATTTATCTTGGCAAGGAGTGCAGGATTGCGCCTGTAGTTGGCAAGAACTTTGAGCACCATACAGGTGACAGTACGACATTGCTCACTTCCGCCCTCAATTTTGAAGGAGAGTACCTAGGAGGGACGGGACGAGGGTCTCCTAACTATCTTCTACTACCACAACTTCTCGAGAGGATTTTCTGCTCCCCGCATGTTTAGTGTGTCCCCATGCCGTAGAGACACTATACATTTACAAACATTCATGCCTTCTCCGGGATTTGAGCCGGGCCCTTCGGTATGGTAGTCAGCGTCGCTAACCATTATCCCGGTTGGGCAGCAATCAGGAGTTATTGATTTACTGGCAAGAAAGTAATTTCGGTTTGCACAAATAGATAGCATTATGTTCGTTTTGTTATTCTTCTGTCAAACTTATATTCTTTTTTCTTTTGAGGTTTGACAGCTGACACTTTTTGGTTGCTAAAAGAACAACTTCGGTGTATTTTTGTTTACAAATGTTAGTTTTATCATGGGGAGTACAGATAAACATTTTCTTTTTTATTTTCATAAAGGCAAGAGATTATTTTACTTTTTTATTTCCATAAAGGCAAGAAAGCCGCTGAGGCTCACAAAGAGATATAAGAAGTTTATGGTGTTGATTGTTTAACAGAATGCATGTAACAGAATTGGTTTAAAAAATTTCATTCTGGAGATTTTTCACTTAAAGATGAGCAACCTACATGAAAATCACATAAGGTTATAAGGTATTTATCCAGCATTCTTAGCATGCCTTCGTAGTGTAGTGGTCAGCACGCTCGGCGCATATTCCAGAGATCCGTGGTTCGATTCCCGGCGAAGGCGTTGCTCATTTTCCCGATCTTCTGCTTCCAAATAACCTAATGTCTCTACAGTGGCACCCGAACTAAAAGGGTAGTGGATGATGATTCTCCTTACCACAGGATTTGTCGATTGGATTCTCTAAACCCCATTCGCCCTTTAAAAGGGGGGGGAGTATATAAGGTATTTCTCCCGGGTTCTTAGCATGCCTTCGTAGAGTAGTGGCCAGCACGATGGGCGCGTATTCCAGAGGTCCGTGCTTTGATTCCCAGCGAACGCGTTGCTCATTTTTCACATGTTTTAAATAACCTAATATCTCTACAAAGTATCTTGGGCTCGTTAAGAAGCTCGATATTTAAGTTCCGCAGGAATTGAAAGAGTTTCTTTTAACACAAAAAATCAATATTTGGAGTACACATTTCATACCTAATAAAGTCGGCGCTTTTTTTTCACTCGTAATGAAAAATGGATTGTTTACAATAATTAATCGAAAAATATCATGATCCATGCTATGATGAATCAGCACAAATCATATCGAAAGCTAAAAAAGATCATGCAGCCAGTTAGGTGGGATTACAAAGGCGTTTCACATTTTGAGCTACTTCCAGGCAAGAAACGATCAACTCAGATATTTACTGCCGACAACTTATGGAACTGGGGGAAGCGATCAAACAGAAAAGGCCAGAATTGGCAAACGAAAGAGAAATCATCTTTCTCCAAGAGAATGCGAGGCCTCACACATCTTTAGGAACACGTACGAAATTACTGGAGCTTGGTTGGGAAGTGATATCGCATTCCTTACATAATCTCAACTTTGCACCATTGGATTGTCGTTTATTTCGAAGTTTACAAATCTTCTTAAATAGTAAAAATTTCACAAATAACGATGACTCAAATTCCATTTGATTGACGTTTTTGCTAATGAAGACCAGAAGTTCTATGAGCGCAGAATCAAGTTACCAGAAAGATGGCAGAAGGTCATCGAACAGAATGGAAGATATTTGACTCATTAAATCCATTTTTTGTGTAGAAAAATGAGTTTTATTTCATACTTAAAAACTGAAATTATTTTTTTGCCAACCCAAGTACTTTTAATCCAGTGTTTGATAAATACGGAAAAGGCCAATTTTAACGTCACACTAGATCGACAGCGTTTTCATCATTAGAATTAACGATTCTTCCTTTCTTTTCTTTTTATGAAAACATTTGTGAAGCATAAATAATTAAAATGTTGATCTTTATAAGTAACAACGAAACCTTTCCCTCCGTTCGAGTTGCAGACATTTTGTTAACACTCATTTTGCTCTTCAGAAGTATCTAGATGTTATTAAGAAACAAAACGACCCATTCATTATTTATTTATTAGTTTAATTTAAACTCCTTGTGAACCAAATAATATTAGATAAAGCTATAAGGTATTTCTCCCGCTTTCTGAGCAGGCCTTCGTAGTATAATGTTCAGCAGGCTGGACTCGTATTCCACAGGTCCAGGGTTCGATTCCTGGCAATGGCGTTGCTCTTCTTTCACATCTCCTATTTCCAAAAAATCCTAATGTGCTTACAGAGGTTAATAAAAAAATTCGAGAAAGCTTTCGGATTTTAAATTTCGCGCGAAGGGGCGTTCTTTTCGTTTACACACTTATACCGGTTTCGAAAGCAATTTGGTCTCTTTGGGTCTTTTTAATGTTCCTTTGGGCTAAAAATATTTAAAAACAGCATATCTTAGCATTTACGATAGCAAATCTCCCACGCTGGAGATTTTTTTTTTTTTTTTCCGTACAGAGTTGCCATTGCTCACTTTGGAATCGTTGAGTTTGTTAATCAAAAATTCGTTAAGTTTTATAAAATATGAAATATACAGTAAACCAAATTCCAAATTCAGGCTTGCAGGTGCCCATATTCGGGTGGAGGACTACGTTGTTCAAAATTTGATGGCTCTAGGTACTGTTGTTTCCTCACAATGCGAGAAATATACATATATTCATGCAGATTATTCAATATTTCATTTCTTAAATAAAATATAGGGCGATAATATTTGGTGGCAACAATTTGACAGTGAAACGGACATTTATAGTGAACCAAAGTAAAATGCCGTTTCGAGACTAACAGCCCTTACGAAAATTAGGGCGAATCTATACAGTTAGTATGGCATGACTATACCTATGTAACCAATGGTGAAATTCTAGTGTCCCGCGCATCAGTACCTGTTACATAGGTAGACAAACAGTATTCCTTAAAATTCCCACATCCGAGAATAGATGAAGAACTACCTTTTGTCTGTTTAATTTTAATACATTTTGTACACGAATGCTTGAACAATACTGCATCTAATTCAGGAAAATAAAAATAGTTAGCAAAGAACTTATTCAAATTGCTTGTAACAAAAAAGTACTGGCTGAGTGTTTAAGACCTCTGAATATTGAGAGTTTAACCTGGATTCGATCCCTAGCGAATGGGCTGGCTGCGTAGTTGATTTCTGTGATTTCCTCCCGTGTGTAACATCAATGCCAGTTTCCCCAGAAAGTCCTCCCGAAAGACATCCATCCTTCTAGGCAATTAAAGCTCTTGTGTGTCTTTCCATATTTAAATAACCTAACCTAACTAAATCAAAGGTAAAAAGCGCAGTTTATATTAGGTGGCCATTTTATGGTAGATTTTGCTGAGCTCTCTCAGAGTAATCCATGAAGTTTCACTATAAGTTGGCTGCCCATAAAGCAGCCAAATCAGATTTATACAGTAAAAATCTCATAAAATTTCGCAACGAATACGTATATTAATATTATTAAAATAAGTATATCAGATATGAAGTAGTATACATATTTAGCAGGCAAATAAAATCTCATAAAATTTTTTGTGAAGGACTTATACTAATCATACTATTTAAAAGTATATCAGATATGAAGTATTACACATATAATTAGTACGCAGCTAAATCTTATAAAGCAAGGCAAAGTCTTTGGAGTAATATTCTACAAGGGTGAAGGACTTTTAGTTTTCTTCTAAAAGTGGATCAAGGTTTTAGAATCACAAATCCTCTCATTAAATGGTTCTTAACAAAGCATTGCCTCGTCTCCACATACTTTTATGCCAGCAACACACAACACAACCAGCTCAGAACTGTTGGTATCCTGAACATTATTCATTCAAGTTCCATCTCATGTCCCAAAATTACTGTGTGCTCCCACAAAATAGTGCAAAGAAATTTATTTGTCACGCGTTAAAAATAATTAACTAAGGAACAAAATCATTACTTATAATGATATCTCTCATAACTATATTATATATATATATGTACATATGCATGCAAATATATGCATATGTATGTATATATAAGTATATCTCATAACTTGTACTTTCCTATTATATATGCTAAATATTTCCTCTTACGAATTAGTAAAATTTCATAATTAAATATTGTTTATCAAAAATTCCATTTGTGTCCTAAAGGAAACCGATCTGTCTCAAATCCGCTGTTCTAAACTGAATACAAAGATTGAACAACAAAAGTACTCTTTATGAATCTTAAAGCTAGGTACCAAAGTTTCCTGCTTCGTGTTAAGAAATTTATTTTGTTTCAAGAAAACGAATATGATAAATGCGTATTGTGAAACATTGAGTTATATACAATAAAGTTAGTTAACTTTAAAAAAACCTGATGTGGACACTACATGACTTCCTTGTTATAGCCTATTAAAATATACCGATTTTTTGCTGCATTTAATTTAAACTTATTTCCTCGAATTTAATTAGAGATATATTTCTCATTCAATTAATTCAGTTCTTCCTTCGCGGCAAAACAAAAATATTTAAAAACGGAAAGCATCTTGATTAATAATTGTAAAATACAGAAACACATAAAACATCAAAGAATGTTAAAACAGTCAAAAAAATGTTTACAGTTAAAATTACAGTTACTACGCAGAAACAAGCAATTCGGCCAGCGGGCAAAAAGGCAGATGTTTTCATGCGCAAGCTGAAAGTTTAATTTTGGTCCCACTCGGCAAAAAAAGCATTGAAAATGCAGACACTGACTTAATTCATTATTCTACTGACTTTCAAATGTAAATAAGTGGCAGTTCGTTAGGTTTAACTAGCTATTTAATGTTTTAAACTGTAGACAATTCTACAAAAATAGCATGCAGATTAACTAAAGGCTAAAGGCATGAAACCCTTAACAGGAACATAAGAACAACATAGTTAAATAATTTTTAAAGCAAAAAATGCACAATTTACCAACATATAAAAATAAAATAATAATAATAAAAAAAGCTCACCGAGCTAGGTAACAGAGTGGGAATATATATATGTATATATGTATTTATATACGATTGTTGCAGCCGGTTGCAACGAGAAAGGGAGGTGCACAATTACATGTTAAAGCCTTCTCCTATACAAAGTTGCAACGTTCTATGGCTACTCGTTCTTGAGTTAAGCAAGATACATACATACGTACGTACAGACGTCAAGAAAAAAATCTCGTCTGAAACCAGTTTAAATCCAATTTACATTCCTTTTTGAAAACAACAACAACAACAACAACAAAACAGTCCTTTATTCGGTCCATACATACAGATATACAGATGTTACATAAATATATAGTTCAAATGGGTTCGAGAGCAGTTGAAATACGATACCCGAAATTTTTCGAGATTACAGTACTTCCTTTACTTCGTACAAGGAAGTAAAAAGTACTTTATGAACTTTTAACAAAAGGTACTAAAATGTTTTATTTTATTATACTATACTTGCTATTGTAAGCAAGTTGATTCAAGGTAAACTGCATATGTTAGACGGGTACTGTGATACATACTTTAATTGTGCTTTGTCGTCAGTTCTACCAGTTTGTTTTAAGATATTGTTTTGTTATAAAGTATTTGCATATCATACTTGAGTATTGCATATTACTGTCATTTTTGGCTCCCCATTTGGTAGAGCACAGTGTTCCAGATATCTCCTCCAGTTCTGTCCCATGCAGTATTTTAAAATTGGCACCTGTCTTTAAAATAACCCAGATTCTAGCAATGT